AAACTATTTTGTTGCCAAAAAAAGAAACCATAGCCAAGTTAATTCCAGTTATCAGGCATCAACGCTGCCGTAATTATAAATCCTAAACAAAATAAGACTGCAATGTCTACATTTTGCTTCCCAAGTAAGAGTGGTGTTGTTCAGTGGCATTATTTATATATTTTTTTCTGTCAACTTGAGGACCTCAAGTTCATTTTAATTCTATATTTACCTATCACATCCATTGGATGATGTGTCCAGCGATAGAACGTTCAGCAAAACAGATCAGATCAGATGCAAATACATGCCTTCGATGTTCTAGGAAACCATCGCAGTGGTTTTCAAGAATGAACACTCAAATATTCATGCGGAAACACTGAAATGTGTTTTCAAAATAATAAATCACAATGACCCCGGTTGGCTGCGGAGCTCAGAGCAGCTTTGATTTTAGCATAATTATGTGTGTTTGGCTATTTCTCTCTGATCCGAAGTTTATCCAAAAGTTTCTATTTCTTGCTACGTTAGTTTGTCATTGTATAGACCAAACCGCAGCGCTGGTATGGAAAAACTCAGCAGCCTTTGTGGTTTATATCCAGCCCCAGAAGGAACTGCTTTTCCTTTAAAAACCCCAGAATGAATGCTTTTAATGAAAATTACATTTCATGCAATGGTAAAAACCCACTTCCTCCATGCCAAACACTCTCAGAGTGGAGAAACATTCTCAGGGAGTGTTAGATTTAATGGTTCGTCTTTAAAAGAGTCCATAAAGCTTTAATTGAGTTGTATGGCAAATACAACTCCCCTGCCATGTTTCACATTCAACATGCGTTTCCCTTCGTCTCTCCTGTTCTGTCAGCCTACAAGGGTTGACCCTTTGACTTCTTACTACCCAAGAGATCAGGGGAAACTATAGCGGGGTCAGGGTCACTCCAGAGAGCCGTAAAACATCTCAGTTCTAACATTTGCCAAACAAATACATCACTGGCCTACTATGTGCTATGCTTTCACATGATTATAGTTCCTCAGGTGGGTTGGTCCTACTAATGCAGTTTTTTCATGTCTCCATTTATTTTCCTACTATCTTAGAAAACAGCTAATAAATAAGCAATGCAGTTGTTTGAAATGTGTTATGGCTCTCTGGAGTTTTAATATTATTTTATTAAATATTGGCATGCACATTAAAACAAATGGTTTTATTCACAGACGCAGATCTGTGTTAATGATCAATGAACATGCATACAACAACTTGGGTTTTCACATGCATGGAAAAAATATTTAAATGTTTGTATAATTCATCTTTTTTAATAATTTTGACAAATGTTGAAATTTTAATAAATCAATAAAGCATAAAGGTTAATATATTTGTTTTAAAGAAATGTTTAACAGATATGCTGCTATAATTAAATACAGTTGAAGTCAGTCAGTTGAAGTCCGTCCGTCCGTCCGTCCGTCCGTCCGTCCTTCCATCCATCTATCTATCAATATATATATATATATATATATATATATATATATATATATATATACATATGCATGTATGTTCAACAGGTTTATACAATAAGTTTAAACAACAGTTCCGCCTGGTTCTTGAATCTGATTGGCTAATAGCCGTGCTATAATCTGCAACAACAACACTTGTACAGCCTTTTCGCCCTTGTGTATTAATCCGCCCACATAGAGTGAGAGCAGATCAATAAACTCACTACAGTTTGACAAATATTGCAGCTGTAGGACAACATAATGTACTTTTGATTCTATTATGTGAGAATGTAGTTGTTTAGATTGCTACTATGCAGTTCATTTATAAGGATAGTGCCTATTTTAAATATTAAAAATTTTGGAGATTTAGTGCCTTGGCGGCCATTAGCCTGTCATCAAGTAGAGCAAAGAGGGTTGATGTTACACCACAAGATGACGACAGAGACCACATAACACGTATTTAAGGAAGGAAAAACTCTGCGAAAATTATTATAAAACTGGTAAGTTAATCTCTCTTTTGTATGTTGTAGTGCAGTATTTATACCATAGTATTCTGCTAGTGTTTGCTCTGCTTTGGCTTTTTCAGGGTTAATATTTGTGATCTCCCAAGATCAACAGAGAAATACTAGGAAATTTCTGTAGACTGATGGCATTTCATGCCAGTCAGCATTATAATCTTAAAATGTGAGCAATGTCTACTCTTTTGTCATAATTTTAGACATAACGCTAGAGAATCATTCAAACACTGGCTCTAAAGTGACATTTGTGAAGTGGCAATGGTTTCTGCTGTTCTGACGTCAGCTGCGGATGTGAATGAATGGCAGAAGAAAGTAGTTCCTCATACAAAATGATTTTTGAGAACCTAAGTGTTTGATTTGCTTATATTCTTGATTTTGCCGTTGAACTGTTGTATAAATGCAATATCACACTCATAGCAGTGCAATATGGCTGTATATCGGCACTGCTGGGACACTAAGGCCCAGTTTACACTGCCAGTTTAATGTGACCAAATTCAGATTTTTTGCTCATATATGAGATGATCAGATCTGTGCTATGATCGTGTAAACAAAAAAAAAAGCGCTTGCATTCAGAAATTCAGAGATCGGGTTCAGGCCTCCTTCATATATGGAAATAAATCAGATATAAATCGGATACATGACAATGCGACTATCATGTAAACATGCAGATCGGATTTATTGAGGCATTCTGTTTTGTATGTCATTAAACTTGCAACATTGTGGTATTTCTCCAAGGTTTAATGATGTAGAAGGAAGAGCGTGTGTGGAGACGCAGATGCGGTAAACAACAACAAGGAAAACATGGAGTAGGAAAGTGGTCAATCGCCACAATTTGCTCCCACCAGACCAAAAATTCCTCTGAATGGTGGAGGACACTATGTGAAGTTTCATAAACTAATTTCGAGAGGAGCACGTGATATGATTGAGCACTGCTGGCCACTCATTCGTTATCAGTAACAATCCAATCAGAGCGTTCCCAGCTCACTATAAATGGATCATTTTCTCCTTACTGCTCTTTCTTCGTTTTGGAAGAATCCCCCTTCCACCCCATCTCCTCCTTTTCCCCTTTTTTTCTAAAAGGGGGAGCTATCGAGACCTACCTGATCTTGGATCCCCTGATATGCTTACTGACCAGGCGGGAGCCCTGGGCTCAAATATCTCCGAGCTCAGGGACAGCATGACAAACCTTTTAATGGCAAGCATATCTAAATGGGAACTCTTGAAATATAAACCATAAGCACAAGCTGCAATGTTGGCCCTTCTCTGCCTCAAAATCATTTTAAAGTTGGGCGATCTTCACATATATCGCAGAGCTAAAAGCAAGACAATTTCTTCCATCGTGGGTAGTGTGGCGCATAACCCGCCTTTATGTATGTGTGACTTCGCAAATTGTATGGCAAGGGTAAACATATTAATCGGATGTATCACAATTAAAAGAACGTGTAAACGGACAGGCAAAAGAATCAAATATAGGAAACAAGTCAGATTTGGACATTAAGACCTGACCTGAATGGGGCCTAACGCCTGTTTCACACCGCAAGCGTCAGCAGCGCGTGAGCAGAGCGTGAGCAGCGCGTATGTCGAGCAGAAGCAGCACGCAGGCGTTTGCCCTTCACACCAGCTGCGTCTGCAGCGCGCAGCTCTTCGGCAGCTGCTGCAGAGATCAACATATCTCTGTCTATTCTATCTAGTTACCCATGTCTCTCTATATACAAATACACTTTTTAAACTTTTCATCTGCAGCAAGGCCCGCGGCAACTGCGGTTTCTTTAACCTGCAAATCTTTATTTTAATAATTTTATAGATCAAATAGTGCTGCATGCTTCTCAAGCTCTATAGGAGTGTCTACAGTCAGAAGACAATCGACTGTGATATCATGTCATTTGTTTTTTGATTATCAGGTTGCTTTAGGCCTAGTTATAATAATATTTATACAATATAGTTATAATGACATTTATACATGATCAAAATAGTGTTGCTTTCTCCGCTTCAGTGATGTCCAGCGGCAGAGTAACAGCTCGTTAATTCATGCTCGTGCAGAGGATGAGACAGACAAAAGTAATCAATGCATGCCGTTCTTTTACTTATTTTCGTGTTGTCAGGTTCACAGTGCAAACAGCTCCCGGTAGGAATAACTCGAGTGAACATAAAACAAAGCCGATTAAAACTTTTTTGCTATGCTTGAGCTGCACAGAACACAGCGAGCTCACATAATCCAGCATGCGTGTCGCACTACACTACCCACAATACACTACACTATGGACTACAACTCCCCTAAATATTCTATTTCCCCTCTCCTGAAACACTAGCGTGCAACTTAAACAAAATTAATAATAATAATAATTGTTTTACATTTGGTTTTGTAGTTCAGCGCTAAATAAATGTTTGTTGCCGTTTTTAATCGTTTAAGTTCATTTGATTGACTATATCTAAATCAGTTGACATTATTAATGCATTTATTGGGTAAAATTGCTACTTTTTACTATCATTCATTGTGTTTTGGTCATTATCAATGCACTGTCACTTTAATTGAGCGTGAGCAGCGTGGCAAAAATAGACCCAGCGCCGAAACTATCGCTGCACTGCTGCTTCGGCGACGCTCACGCCTCGCTCTGACGCGCTGCTGCTGCGTGCGTTATGAAAGCTCTAACCTGTTAACATGGACGCCGAAAAAACACGTGCTGCTCACGCTCTGCTCACGCGCTTTTTACGCTTGTGGTGTAAAACAGCCGTAAGGCACAAGGCCGCAATGCATGCCTCCCACCAGCGCTGATATACAGGCATAACGCACTGCTACTCATGTAAAAGTGCTCATCTATTTTATTTAAGCTATAGAGTTTGAAATCTACTGGACAGCAAGACAGAACCAGGTCACTGGATGGCCAACTTTCCCATTAAGGTAGTTTCCAATGTTTCATTAATTGATTTACATATAATAAAATGATGTAATAAAGTAAAATGATGATTTAATAAAAAATGTCTAAAATGAAAATCTTTATGTAAAAAATGCAGTCTGAGCTGAAGTTTTGTTTTCAGCTATACTTTAAAATACCTGACTGAAGATGCACCTTGGCAAGTAAAACAGTTTGTTTTACTGTATCAAACTTGGGAAAATTCAAGCATATGGCTTTACTAGCACCAGTCTAGGCATCGGCTGGGAGGGATTCAGTCTGGCAGGGAACAGTTATTTGATTCGTCTCACTGAGTGCAAACCACACCGAAAGTATCTGCAGTTCCTCCGACCAGATTCATGCAGCATCAGAATCCGATTTCCAGATTTCTGGCGGTCGGCGTTTGGAAACTATGCAGCGCGTACCTTTGATGAGGGCAGCTGGGATACGACTGCTGGACTCGTGCCAGAGGGACGCTGAAGTTCGGACAGGGTCTGCGGCGGATCCCGAGGCCTTTGTTATCCCACAGCGGCCCGCTAATTTGAGAGGAGGCTCACTACGCCTTTCTGTGAAGCGTCCGTTCGATGACGTCCAGCACACTTGGAAACGGAGCGTCTGTGGAGCAGCTCAAAACACATCAAACAGCCACGCATCCACATGTTGCTGAAAGAGGAAAGAAACACACAGAAATGACTTTTCCAGAGTGACCGACAAACCCAGAAATGATGGGTCTAATTCTTGAGTCTCTTTAAAGGACACATTATTCTATTACATTATTAGATTTTATTGTGTGTGTGTGTGTGTGTGCGTGGGGAGGGAGGGGAGGGGGGTGTTTTTTTGGAAAGCAGGGTGGGATCGAGGCCCAATGTGTGTCTATGAAGGCCGGCCCAGCTCAATGTTAGGAAATGACTCAGTTTGTATTTATGAAGCCTTCTGTTTGTTTGTGCTTTTTCCACTTGGGCTCCTGGAAAAGCAGATTATTTGCACATCAACTGGTTAACCCGCTACAAAATCTTCAAGATGGATTCATTGCTGCAGGCCACGGCTGAACAGAGCCAAGGATTTTCTTGCTTTGCTTGAGCTGACCAGAAGTGACACTGGAAAATCTCGTTGCCACCTGTGTTTTCCCTCAGAAACCCTTGAAAACAGTTAGTGTTTGCTAAAGCGAGCATCGCTGCTATTAAAGTTAAGGAAATTGACAAATACTTTCTCCACAACTTGATGTACGATAATGCATATTCAATATCCAAACTAATCAAAGGCTCTTTTGATTTGTGATAGTAATCCAGAACCTGGCAACCACAACACCCTAGCAACTTGATGGCAATGCGGCACAAACTATCGAAAAAACTCCTAGCAACTACCCATAACACAACCCAAGAGCTAAATAAAATTCTGAATACCTAAACAACAACAAAGCAGCACCTTAGCAACTAATCTATGACACCATAGCAACTTGAGGGCAATGCAACCCAAACTAATTAAGAATACTCTAGCAACTGCAGAGCAACATCCTGGCAACCACCCATAACACAACCTAACTATATACAATTCTGGACACCTAAACAACAACATAGCAACACCCTAGTAACTAATCTTTAACTCCTTAGCAACTTGATGGCAATGCAGCACACACTATCTAAAGAAACACTCTAACAACTCCAGGATAACATCCTTGCAACCACCCATAGCACAACCTAACAACTATAAATCATTCTGAACACCTAAACAACATAGCAACACCCTGGCAACTAACCAATAACTCCTTAGCAACTGGATGGCAATGCAGCCCAAACTAATTAATAACACTCTAGCAACCGCAGAACAACATCCAAGCAACCACCTATAAACCAACCTAACAACTATACAGAATTCTGAACACCTAAACAACAACATAGCAACACCCTGGCAACTACAGTACACCTTTGTAACTGGATGGCAATACAGCACAAACAAATTAAGAATATTCTAGCAACTGCAGAGCAACATCCTAGCAACTACCCATAACACAACCTAACAACCATACAGCATTCTGAACAACAACATAGCAACACCCTGGCAACTAATCTATAACACCTTAGCAACTGGATGGTAATGCAGCACACACTATCTAAAAAAATCTAGCAACTCCAGAATAACATCCTAACAGCCACCCATAACACTCCCTAACAACTAAATAGATTTCCGAACATCTAAACGCAACATAGCAACACCCTGGCAACTAATCTACCACAACTTAACAACTTGATGGCAAAGCAGCACGCACTATCTAAAAAAATAACTCTAGGATAACATCCTGGCAACCACCCATAGCACAACCTAACAACTAAATATAATTCAGAATACCTAAACAACAACATAGCAACACCCTAGCAACTAATCTATAACACCTTAGCAACTGGATGGCAATGCAGCACAAACCAACTAGGAATACTCTGCAACTGTAGAGCAAGATCCAAGCAACCGCCCATAACACAACCTAACAAATACATAGCACACTTATAACACCTTAACGACAACACAGCAACACCCTAGCAACCACAACCAACACCCAAACATTATATTACATAGTGTGACCAACACTAACGCAGATGGCCACACTGGAAATTAGCTGGGGATTACCGTCAGCCACTGGGCAACATCATTGCACCTGCTGCAGTACCAGTACCAGTACTGCAGCAAAGTTTCTGGATTATTACGCCAGAGTATAGTTCCCAGCCATTTAGCCTAGTATAATGGAGGCCAGCTAGTGCATGCTGTGCAGGTAAACCTCACTCCTCTGACCTCTAAAATGTGCTCTAGCGACAGATGCTAGAAGCTATGTCAATCTAGGAAATTTACTGACACTCTTTGGTCATTTTTGAATAAGATGCTATTGGTCTAATCCGATTCAATGAACTATGCTAAGCTAAGCTAAAAGTGCCAGACCCGGAGATCGGCTGAATGGATTAACAAATGTTGAAACTCAACTGTTAAGACTCTAGGGGAGTTGTAAAATGAGCCTATTTTGAAAACAGTAGACGGTTCCTTTAATTTTTTCCAGAGCTGTATATGTTTGTTTTTCAGAAAGCGCACTTAAAATGCTACTAAGATAGTTTTTATAGGTCCCCAAACCCATGCACCATTTGTTATGCACACTAATCACCATGGCATCCACTCAGAATAGAGTCATTTTGCTTTGCACCAACACACAAACCCACAAGCAAACACATGACAACACACACAGACACATGCGCGTACATACACCCACAGAACAGGTGCCTTTACCCCGAGTGAGTCAGAACCCTCTCCTGGCCTCATGTCAGATCCACTGTTTGCTCTGATTCAGGGCCAGCAAACCACGACTCATACCTTGAACTATTTGTTGTTGGGACACGGGCCTCTTTCCCCCCTCACAGTAAACCGCATCGCTCACTCTCCCCGGAGACTCTTGAGTAGTAAACTTTGGTCATTTTTTTCTTGACATTTATTGGCTGATGGTAACCATGGCAGTGCAGCGACTTTGGTGTATGAAAGCATTTTGATGTTTCTCATAAAAGCTTTGCGTGGAGGATGTTTCAGTTTGGAACACTCTAGCGAGCAAGCATGTAAACAGATGGTCAGAGGAGATATTTGGGGTGTTTGTTTCTGAAGGGCAGCTGTAGCGCAGCGCTGAACGCAGTTGGTGGTCTATCTGTTCTCTATCTTTACAACAATTCTGGTGATGCGTGCACTTAGGTGAAGCCCTGTTTGGATGGCTTGACTAATGGACAAGTTCAAGAGAATCTCACGAAGGTCACTTTATACATCCCAAAACCAAGAGAAAATAGATTTGTATGAAGAGTTTGGCATTAAAGTATTGAAATAATTAGTATGTAACAGATACTTTTATTCAGAAAGGATATAGAATTCAGTAACCCTCGTTTTTACAGACGCTGTTGGACGTTAAATGAACTGTAGCTAGCAACTTTTTGCTTGTACACGAACTCGCATAACATAACAATAACATAACATTCAATATTCGTCAAAAGTGTTGAGTAAAGTTACTTTTAAATGTAATATATTACAATCTTTAGTCACTTTTTTTTTTAAGTAACTAGTTACTTTGTTTTTAACCCAGGCTTATTCTGAATATGTACCCCTATATACAATTCTGGAGAGCGTGAAATACATCTCAGGAGCTACTTTTTTCTTGCATTTTTTGTTTTCATGAATCCACCAAAGGCCGCTGTGTATGCATTTTCAGATCTCAAATTTCTTGCGCAAGTGCCATTCGTGCCTGCTCTTCTCACGTAAATCCACCGAGGCTGCTGTCAACTGACTAACCGACTGATGTAAGCGGTGAGCCACAGGTCAAACTGGTTACAGTAGAAAAGCAGTCGATATGAAGGTAAGCAGTCGTTCATTTTAAAGACGAAATGCAGCTCTGGCTACATAATTCACGCTCTCCAGAAATGTATACAGAGGTATGTATTTACAATGAGCCTGTGCTGTTAGTTTTTAAGAAAAGTAATGTGAAAGTGTGTTATTTATTTATTTATTTTTAAAAACCCTCACAAAGCATCCTAATTGTAAAAAAGGTGCAGCGAGACTTCAGTGTAGAAGCCTAAAACAGAAAATACCTCGGAAGACGAGTAGAGATATACAGTGGGAGCAGAAAGCAAACATTTGGACATGCTACTGTACCTGTCCACACTTAAAGTTTTAATTAGAACAATTTTTAAAATGATATATTTATCATTATCCTTATAGTCATTGTGTTAGTTCTATCATCTCTTGAGAGTGATATTAAAATGAATATGTAAAAACCCACTGTAGCCTTTCTTCTCAATTACAACAAAGATGACAGTGAGAAAACAGCAGTTCAGAAAGCATCTGATATCATCCTGTAGATCTGCACAAACTTACATATAGCAGTTTACTGGCATCATGTTGACCCGAGCAAATTAAAATTATACTATTATGATTTTCAAATCACATTTGCGACTGATATTTGAGACTACTCTTATAACTGCATAGCATATAAATATTACAGTAGAGAACGGCCCTTTTTGCATTACCTTGAACATTATAAGCTATTATCATTCTTTCATTTTCTTTTCAGCTTAGTCCCTTTACTAATCTGGGGTCGCCACAGCGGAATGAACCGCCAACTTATCCAGCATATGTTTAATACAGCAGATGCCCCTCCAGCTGCAGCCCATCACTGAGAAACATCCATACACACTCATTCACACACACACTATGGTTAGTTAAGCTTACCTAATTCACCTATAGTGCATGTCTTTGGACTGTGGGGGAAACCGGAACACCCAGAGGAAACCCGCGCAAACACAGGGAGAGCATGCAAACTCCACACAGAAATGCCAACTGACCCAGCCAAAGCTCAAACCAGCAACTGCTGTGAGGCAACTGTGCTACCCACTGTGCCGCCATAAGCTACTATCTTTAAGTAAATAATGAAAAATGCATCTTTAGCATCTCTAAGTATCTTCAGGCAAAATTCATTCCTTTTTTTATTTTAGGGTGGAATATGATCTGGACACTTCCTGAATGTCTTTTCCCTGCAATTCTCAATTCCTCTCAGGCATTTTGGCAAGACGACTACACCTCATGCCAAGTAACAGGTACCTTCTATCTCAACAGGAATGCAAGAACGCAACCGATTCCAGATGACTGAAAACATTCATGAAGTGTTTACAAACTGAAAACACGTTAATAATCCACCTGCAAATGCTAAAGCTTGACGGATTACAAGATTACTTCAGTAATCCTATAGTTCACTATACACTTGCAATTCCAAATCCATCACAGATGTTAGTATCCTGAAGCTCCCCAAGCTCCACATGGCATTGATCTTTCCCATTAAGTTCTCCTCCGGCTCCAAACCCAGCTGATTCGGTGGCTTCAGAAACGCTGATATACAATATGCTACATTGTCCGAAAAAAATGTTTTTGAAGACTTTTTTTTGGGATACATCTGCTCCGGTTTTACGCCGCAGACGAGTTACGCTCAAGGACTGTCTCAATGTCATGTTGATTCTTTCTCAAAAGTAAACGCATTCAGTGTATACTCGGGCTAATCAGGCTAGTTTGTGTTTTAAAAAAAGGACACACACGCACACACACCTCGCTGTTGGTGGCCTGAATGCAAAGCCTAGTTTTGAACCTGCTGCTTAGAATGGATTAACGTGGGGTTGAAGCCAGCTGTAGGGCCTTGGAGCCGTCCGAGGGTGGGTGAGGTTTGCTACCCTGGGTGGTATGGCGTTAATTCCCTCCTCACACGTTTCCCATTAGCATAACAGGCTACATATGAAACACCAGGCAACGCTGGTCAGGGACACGAGGCTTCCCAGCCCAGCCTGATTCATGGCTCCAGTCAGTGTCGATCAGTTTGAGGCCAGCTTCACCATGCACTTCAGAGAATGAGTAATGTCATGCCATACCAACCAATTAGCCTGACGCTTCTTGCTCGGACGTCATCTGGAAGTTTAGTGGAGGGAAATGAGTAGCTTGAGCAGTAAATACTATCTTTACTGGCCATCTGAGAGAAGCGAGTGACAGTAAAAAGGTTTTGCATCCATTTGGCATTTGAGTTCATGTCTTCAATTAGCACTTGGCCTAAATTAAAATGTAATCTGTATATATTTGAACAGCATCAACATTAAAAGTTTGGATTTCACAGTAAGTACTTTCAAAGATCTGTAAAAAAAAAATATATATATATATATATCTTTAGTTATTTTTAGTTAGCTGGATTTGCTTATCAATTTCGTGCTGTAAATTTTAAATACTTCATGTTTTCAGACCTTAAAGGCACAGTAATTGATTTTCACCATTAGAGGGCGTGTATTCACAACAAACAAAGGCATAATTAGATGATAGAGTGACTTACATATATTGTGCCTTTAATTCGTTGGGGGAAATATGTATGTAAATAAATATACACTCACAATCATTTTTATGTTCAACCATCTCTAGGGTTTACAGAGAATGGTCTGAAAAAGAAAAAATTTCCAGTAAGCAGCAATTCTGTGGGCGCAAATACCTTGTTGATGCCAGAGGTCAAAGGAGAATGGAGGACTGGTTTGAGTTAACAGAAAGGCAATAGTAACTCAAATAAAAACTTGTTACAACCGAGGTCTGCAGAAAAGCATCTCTGAACACACAACATGTCCAACCATGAGGCAGATGGGCTACAGCAGCAGAAGACCACACTAGGCGTCACTCCTGACAGCAAAGAACAGGAAACTGAGACTACAATTCACACAGGCTCACCAAAATTGGACAATAGAAGATTGGAAAAACGTTGCCCAGTCTGATTTCTGCTGTGACATTCGGATGATAGGGTCAGAATTTGGTGTCAACAACATGAAAGCATGGATCCTGCCTTTTATTAACGGTTCAGGCTGGTGGTGGTGGTGTAATAGTGTGGGGAATATTTTCTTGGCACACTTTGGGCCCATTAGTACCAATTGAGCATTGTATCAACACCACTCCCTAAATATTGTTGCTGACCATGTCCATCCCTTTATGACCACAGTGTTCCCATCTTCTGATGGCTACTTCCAGCAGGATAACACTCCATGTCATAAAGCAAGAATAATCTCAGACTGATTTCTTGAATAGCCAATGACTGTACTCAAATGGCCTCCACAGTCACCATTGCTCGATCCAATAGAGCATATTTGGGATGTCACAAATCTGCAGCAACTGCATGTTGACATGCTATCATGTCAATATAGATCAAAATCTCTAAGGAATACTACCAGTGTCTTGTTGAATCTATGCCACAAATGATTAAGGTAGTTCTGAAGGCAAAAGGGGGTCCAACCCGGTACAAGTAAGGTGTACCTAATAAAGTGGCCGGTGTATGTATGTATGTATGTATGTATGTGTATATATATATATATATATATATATATATATATATATATATATATATATATATATATTTGTTATAAATATATAAAACGGAATAGTTTACCCCCCAAAAATGAGTTTCTTCTGTTGGACACAAATATATATATATATATATATGTGTGTGTGTGTGTGTGTGTGTGTGTGTGTGTGTGTGTGTTGAAGAAAGCTAAAAGCTGGTAACCTTTGACATCCATAACAGTAAAGACAAAAATGACGGAAGCCGATTGTTACAGGTTTCCAACATTTTTTGAATGATCTGCTTTAGTGTTAAACAGAAACTCAAAGCTAAGGGTAAGTAAATCATGACACTTTTTGATTTTTAGGGTGAATTATGCCTTGAATGGAAATGTAAAACAGTATTAACATTCAAATGTTGAATGTGATCTGTGTTTTAGTACAGCACAGGAAAGTGTTAATACCTTGTTTTGGTGTCCTCTCTCATTTTTAATTAATTAAACACACTTGAACATGAGAGTTTACATGATTTTAAAGCAATCTGTCCCAACTACCTCTGGAAAAGTGGACAAGCTTAAATGTTCTAGACCCCATTTACACCTGTATTTACTGTTATCCACTTCTGACTAGATTGACAAAGTGCATCCTTATACCTCATCTAAAAGGCTTATGCATTGTATTAAAGGGATAGTTCACCCATAATTTGAATTTTCCTCAGCATTTCCTCAAGTGCTTCTAAACATTTTATGAACTTTTTTTCACAAAACAAGATATTCTGATTGAAAAAGCAGCCACTGACATACATATAAGGAACAAAAACACTGTTGAAGTCACATTTTTCCAACATCCTTTAGTATATCTTCCTTTATGTTCAAAAGAAGAGAGAAATTCAAACAGATTTTTTATTTTTAGGTGAACTATTCCTTTAAGTTCATTACTTTTTATGGTAAAACTGTGTAATACCTAATGGATGCAAACTATACATGCAATTTAAATCTTAAACGCAGTCCTAAATCTGTTGTAGGGAGTGTTTAATGCATGCCATCTCTTTATTTGGCTTAAGCTCTTAAAACTTTTGTATGCTTTTTGTGACCGCCTCTTACATTACATGTGGCTGCGATGAGGTAGACTTCAACCGTATGTGTGTGTGTGTGTGTTTGTGTACAGAGGAGATGGATTGCCTTCTGCCTGCCTCACCTCAGCTCACTTCCTGTGAGTCACTTCCTGTCCCAGGCCCAGAATCCTGCTGTCCTCTGGCTGATGTCATGGCAGCTTTCCACTCCAGCCTATGGAACATAAACATCTGGCCATAAGATCATAAAGAGGAGACGAGTGCCAGCGCTGTGCTTCAGCCCACCCCCGTCAGTGACTGCATCTTAGAACATTATACAGTCAAAAACTGATTTATTACTAACACTAAAGCACTTTGCGCGTGCAATACAGCACATCGTCATCGTTTGCGAGCTGGTTTTGCTTCAAACGCTGTACATATGCATGCTTAAATATTAAGCTTTTGTTATTGGCAATGAGAAATGCACTAATGGTTCTTTATATGCACATATAGTTGTGATGTTTGGAATACTGTTAACGGATACTGTTTGGATATGGATACTCAATTTGAATTGAGAATACTCTCAATAGTTTATAGTTATGGTGGCATTGTGGCTCAGTGGGTCACCTTAGCAAGAAGGTCGCTGGATCGAGTCCCGGCTGGGCCAGCTGGCATTTCTGTGAGAAGTTTGTATGTTCTCTCTGTGTTCGTGTGTGTTTCCTCTGGGTGCTTCAGTTTAGTTACGTGGTATAGGTGAACTGGGTAAAAAAAAAAATAATAATAATAATAGTAAAAATTGGCCGTAGTGTACAAGTGTGTATGGAACCCCGGAAGGGAGGTAGTGGAGGAGAAAAACATTGGCTGGGTGAAAAAAAAATAATGGGTGAAAGAAAAAAATGGGTGGGAGGAAAATATATATTTGTAGGTTTTTGCGTTCTCTCGCAAAGTTTTGCATTCTCTCGCAAAGTTTTGCGTTCTCTCGCAAAGATGTTTTGCGTTCCCTCTCACCAACTGTGTTTCTCCACAAACACTTCCTGTTCACTTCACTCATGTAAACCCTCCCGCTTTTGCCAAAATTCTCCCGTATTTTACCATTCTATCCCACTTTCTTTACATTACTGTGCGTCGATCGTCGCCTTATGCTACCTCTGAACCAGTGAATGCATGTATAAGCGCTGACTGACAGACGTGCTCCATACAATAAACTGATCCTAGATCAGCGTTTGTACGTGCCATTTACAGAGGAGCACAGAGGAGCGGGTGTATGTTTAAACTGACAAATACACTGAATAATATGTAAACATCTCCTACCTGCATGTTTTATTGTAAACAGCTTTTTTTCTCTTAAATGAGCACAAACAGTTTCTAAAGTAATGGACTGCTTTCATTATAGATCTGTGCATTCATACAGAGACACCTATGTTATCAAACTAAACAAAACATGAGATTCATTGCTGCTCACTTGTTTGATAACAGAAGTGTCCCTTTAAATGGCGCGTACAGACGCTGATCTGGGATCAGTTTATTGTACGGAGCTTTTATTGTACAGTTTATTGTTCGGTCTGTGCGTCTGTGCATCTACATGCATTCGCTGGTTCAGAGGTTGCAAAGTGAAAGGCAACAATCAACGCACAGATTTAATGTAAAGAAAGTGGGATAGAATGGTAAAATATGGGAGAATTTCGGCAAAAACGGGAGGGTTTTTTTTTTTTTACCCATTTTTTTCACCATTTTTTTTTTCACCCAGCCCGGGGTTCCGTAAGTGTGAATGTGAGAGTGTATGGGTGTTTCCCAGTACAGGGTTGCGGCTAGAAGCATATGGAAAACATATGCCGGAATAGTTGGCGGTTCATTCCTCTGATAAATAAGGGACTAAGCTGAAGGAAAATAATGAATGAATGTTTATAGTTATATCTAGGCCCACACTGAATTTGCGCGCGCAGAAATCTGCAGATTTTTAACCCATCATTGAATCTATTTATTTACTTGTGTAAAGGTGTGTACATTTATATTTATTTACTTTTTTAAATTCATGTCACTGATATTATTGTGATATAATAATAGTTTAAAAATGTTCATATGATTTATTTACAATGCAATTTGTAAAGTAATATTTTCCATCGTTTAGTAGATATATTATATGAGAGACCTGTTTTGTTTGCCAAATAAGTGGATATAGTTGAATTTGCATTGCAAACATTAAATAAAATTTGAAAACGAATTATTTGTTGATTTCAAATATATAGTTTTAGTTATGATACTCCTAAAATCATTCTGGATACATGCACAGATTTCTTACAAAACTCTTTGCAGAAATAGCAAAACATGTCCACAGACTCTGACACTAGTTATTTCCCACATTAACATGTGTGATAAATAGTAATATAATATAATAATATAAAGTAGCAAATATATTATAATATATGCTTCCAATGTGCTGCAATAAAATTAAAACAGTCAAACAAAAGGCAAACAGTGAAAAAAGGAAAACAATAGCTATGTTTCCATCCATAAATGTGAATGAACTTTATGCACAAAACTAAATTATCGCATAAATGACGTGCAAATAAAGCAGCGTTTCCATCCAGCGACTCAAAGCTAACAAAATCGTCACTTTCTGATTAACTGGCGCCAAATATCAACAGTAAAAACTGAATTTGCTGCAGTAGGAGAAGCTGTGTCAATCTTTTCTTCATCTAATGAATGACTTGCGCCTCAGAAGGCAATCCTGACGCGCAGTGAATGATGCAGAGCACAAACGCTCTTGATTCTGGAGGTCATTAATAATATATTAACACTCATATTCATCAGAATCACATGACCTTTTTTTAATGCGCATACTGAAACTTGTGGTAAAAGTGTTTCCATCGCAGTTTATGCACATCTTTTCTTATCGAATAAAGAGTTTATCCTACTCGGTTATGCGCATACGTTTTTTAATGCACATTTTCAAAATTTATGCACATCATACCGTTTCCATCAACCATTTTTTATGCGCATATGCAAAATGCGCATAAGAATAGGTGGATGGAAACATAGTTATTGATTCATTGATTAGTGGCTGGGATTTAGCAAGTCCACCTACTGTGGTTTAGCATCATGGTTTAGTAAAAGAATAAGCCTTAAAGAAACAACGCATTTTTTGAAAGTAGCCTCATTTTACGAGTCCCTTAGAGTTAAATAGTTGAGTTTTAACATTTTTGAATTTATTTAGCTAATCTATGGGTCTGGCAGGAGCCTTTTTAGCTTAGCTTAGCATAAGTCTTTTAATCAGATTAGACCATTAGCATATCACTTTAAAATTATCAAAGAGATTTGGTATTCAGAACAACCGGCACATGCTCCCTGAATAAGCATAATAAGTCTCGATTACCTAGTTGGGGACTATTTTCAGGCATAGTGTAATATCTTATCTGCTGCTTCAGGTATGGCATCAAAATTCCTTGATTATCATACCAGAATTAAAGTATAGTTCCAAGCCATCGACCTAGAAAATAACAAATTGTAATTTTCCATTGGTCTTAGTACACGATATAACTCTGGAAAGCCAAGCTTTAAACTGGAAAATTATCGAAGCTGTCATTACTAGGGGAGATGCTAATGGTCTAATACGATTCAATGATCTATGCTAAGCTAAGTGTTCAGGCCAGACCTGGAGATTGGCTGAATAAACTCAAAAATAGTAAAACTCAACTGTTTAGTTCAAAGAGTTACAAAAAAAAGACAAAAAGTAAAAAGAAAATGGACCTTAAACTTTTTAAAGCAGTTATTTTACTAAACCATGGTGTAAACCACAGTATGTGGACTTACTGAGTCCCAGACACTAATCAGTGAATCACTGTCTGCATTTTTTCTGACTATTTAATTATGTTGCAGCACATTGTGAGTATATATTTGTGCCATTTGTTTACTTTGGCATCTGATGCCAAGAGTGTTGAGACCGAGAAACTGTGATGCTTGATGTCAGACTATGAATAGTTCACCCCTCAAAAATGTACATATCCTTACCATTTTCTCACTCTCAAATGGTTCTAAACTTTTATGAAACGGTTGAACACAAAACAAGATATTTCGAAGAATGTTGGAAAAAAATCAACTGCAATCTTCAGTATATCTTCCTTTGTGTTCACAGAAGAAAGAAACAAACAGGTATGAAACAAGTGCAGGATGAATAAATGATGACAGAATTTTCCTTTTTTGGGTAAAGTGTCCCTTTAAACAGAGGGCAGTAAAAAGTGTTCTTTAAATTTTTTTTAAAGTTTTTAAAAATTCAAAATGGAACTTTAAAAGTACTCAAAAGGGATCTCGAAATCCTTTGGAATCCCTTTGGAATCTTTATTTTTTTTCAAATTGGAGGCACTTGGTACTTTCCCTATTATTCTTGGCATACCTTCTTGATAAAGATGGCATAATTCATGGTAACGCTCAGACTCAACACCGCTGTGTCCTCGAGGAGGGCAGGAAATGCCAAAGAACCGTCGTCAGGCAGAGAGGAGGAAAGTATCTGAGGGTCAAAGGTTGGAGGTGAAAGCAAAAGGGCAATGGGCATATTTCAACATTCATTTCCCTCCTAATTCATCCTTTCGGTGCATCGCTTTTTTCGTGTCTCCCCTTTCATTCGGTTCCGCCCCATTTGTCCCCGTCGGCCGCCTGTCGACAGCGAGTGCAGCACTAATAGTCTGCTGTGGGAAAGTGAGTCTGAACAGCAGAATCTATCCGACAGAATGGATGAAAGATCACATATCTGTACATATGTGTGAGAGAATGGCACGGGAATGTTTGGTTGGGGCCAAGCACTGGCTGTTTTTTTTTCGGTCCCTCTTCAGCTCAAAAACATTCTTAAGTTTTTGTTGAGCCATCTTGTGTGTTTTATTGAGACTTGATGAACTTAGGAAACAACAAGCTCTTCATTTAACTCATCTCTGCCCTCATCTGCCAGCATATGGATTTTATCATTTATATAAAGCCAACATGTGTCTTTAACATCCTTTACACAGTTTCCTAACAAGCAGCTTAGATGCTCAATTATTATTATTATTAATTTTACTTAAGCTTAGTCTCTTATTTAATAGAGGTTGCCACAGTGGAATGAACCACCAACTATTCCCCCATATGTTTTAAGCAGCGGATGCCCTTCCACCCATAACCCAGTACTGGGTACCACCCATACACTCTCACATTCACACACACACACACACACACACACACACACACACACACACACACACACACACA